GTGACATAATAATCTTTCTCCAAAAATAAAAAATGTTTTAGGAAATATCAGGAAATAAAATGAGTGAAAAAAACAAAAATAAAGATACAATGACGTGAATTTTAAAAAGGATGAACGGAAACAACATAACAACTATTGAACTATTTTATAAGTCATACTAATGTCCGAAATTCTTTCTCCTTGTCTCCGATCTCATCACGAAATAGTCACAGAGTTCATCTATGTTTACACTGTCCAGGATTGTATGATGTGCATTGCACATTGCTACTTTTGCGCTTCGCGCTTAACATTTAGCTCGTTGCTTTTTGACACTGCGTCTTTGCATTTGGCGCACTGCATTCTATGATGCTGTTGATTGAACAAATTGAATAAATTCATCAATTCCTGATGAAGCCGTATGAGCGAGAATTCAATTTATTCTTGTCTCATATACGGTTGTTTTATTTACTTCGTATATATGTATGTATTATGAAAATGAGATAGCAAAATGTGTATATTGATGGTCATCTTGCGAGTAATAACCATTAACTACTCTCATCGGGCTCTAGCTCGTCCTTAATATTTCTCTTCATTTTTTTTTTTTTGATGGTGAATTATTGGGGGGGATGATTGTACATGCCATCCCCCCCACCTGAAATATTGGGGGGGGGGGATATATCCCCCCCATCCCCCCCGGGATCGACACCCATGATTTAAACTATTGGACAACTCAGGGACTTTTACTTCATAACACAGCAGTGCCGTCGTGAAATTGTATTATAAGAGTTATACGGGGTAATACAAACGAAGGTCGCTTCTCTCAATAAGCCATTTTCGTAATGTATTCAAATATATCTTTTCATCACTGTGCAGTAGAGTATATTTATATAGTAGCTGCGCCATTTAAATTGATCTGATTATTATTAATCGGGCGAGCCATAATGTCTGTCGGACCTAGCAACAACTGAACAGGTGAAAGAAATGGCTCATTGCTGGGAAAACGTGTCTCAATTTGAATGCATATCAAAAATAGGTTATTGACCAAGTTGAAAAAAAGTCATTTAAGAGTTACACAATCAAAATACTCTGCGGAAAAACATGTAAATGCAGATAAATTGTTGCTTGTTAGAGAATCTAGAGGTAAGAGGAATATCAGACATCGATGAAATATAACTAAGCCAGGTCTGAGCCATTCTCTTGTTGTATTTCTTACTTGGGGGGGGGGGGGGTCGTTATCTTGAATATTCATGTAATAAACCTGATATAAGTTAACGTCCTTCTGTCTCTCAACAGACGATGCACGGCACCCTCACTCACTTTTCGATTTTGAATCTGTGTAATGTTTTTGACCTGTGTTTTCCTCCTTTTTAACATCCATTATTATCATCAATTTCATTATAAACTGCTTAATTTTTAGACACACATACCCTTATAAATTCTGATGTTATATACAATCATGATTAAATATTGTACTCATGAGCTTACTTTAATTTAATTTATAATGTGTAATAATTCATTTATGTATTTATGTATCAGACTTGATAATTTCTTTGTCTGTGTACATTATTTCTACCATTGTTATGTATCTTTTTTATTTTTTTGTTTTTTATTTGAAATCTTACCCCAAGTTTTGGTTGCCAAAAAAAATAATGATAATAATACATTCTGGTTTACGTAATCCACTGAGATGTACATGATATTTAAATATATTATTGACTATTGTTTTGTCTTTCTAGGAGACATCGTAGACCTGACATTAGTGACCAATCACCCCCTCCTGGATCCTCCCAACACACGTGATCAATATATCGGCGCCTACCTAGGACAGAAAGATGCAAGCATCAGAGACAATATCACGTTTAACCGAATCATCCGGACCGTTGATACTGCAAGTCTCCCAGACTATAGCGACACAGTTAATGAAGGTCACCGTATAAGAAAGCTAATATTCGAGCAGTCTAATCAAACCGAAGCATTAGGAGCATTCCATGCAGCTTTCGAATATGAAGGAACCACACGTATGACTTCATCTGTTGTCTTGATGCACAATGGTGAGTATAAATATTTGTAAAAATCGAGAGTCTTTAATACCTCGGTCAAAGCGCACAACCAACTCCAAACCGACCAGTTTACTGGTCGGTTTGGAGTTGGTTTTGCGGTGTGACCGAGGTATTAACCACTGGATGTAATGTAACTTGTTTACTGGGTCTGTAGTCGGTCTTGTATCGGTCTTGTTGGGTTCTAGGACAATTACTCACTGGACAATTGAACCCCGACCAATTAAAAGCGGGATAGTTACCCCCCCCCCCCATGCTAATTACACTCCGGAACAAGACCTCCCGAGAACAGTTACCCCTGGACAATTATCCCCCGTGCACAATAACATCCGAGGACGATTACTCCTCAAGGACAATTAACTCCCTGTATATTACCCCCTAGGATTACCCCCCCCCCCCCCCCCCCAGGACAACCAGCCCCAAGATTAACCAAAACAAGGACAACCACCCCCGATGACGAATACCCCCCCCCCCCCCCACAGAAAAAAAAGTAAATCTTATTAGAAATAGGAAAGTTAATATTTCATTTTTTTTTTGGGGGGGGGGGGGTTGTTATTTATGACGGAATTTAGAATTGTTTCATCAGGTGTTGTATAAAAAACACATATTTGCAATATAGAATACAGAATACAGATTGTTTAACGTGGTTAAGTACATGGGAAATGGGAGGGAAGGTCGCAAGATACGTCACAATTCGTATTTATTACGCGAAGATTTAATTTGTTTTATAAGATTGTAGAATTCAAGATTTTCTCCTAAATGAATTGAATGATGGGGCAAGTTTGATAAATTATGTAGAGAGTCCCAATTTTTTTGGCTTTTATAGATAAATGTATTTTTAGCGAGAAATGCTTTTATAAGAGGTAAATAAAAGTCAACACAATGGCGAGATGTTTAGTTTTCCGGGGGGTAATTGTCCTAGAGGGGTGGCTGTCCTTGGGAGTAATTTTCCAGAGGGGATAAATGTCTTTGCGGGTATTTTCCCGGGTAATCTTTAGGGGTGCTTGTCCAGGGGTAATTGTCCTGATACGGTCTCCTTGGTGTGACTAATTTATAATGCTTGTACGTTATTTCCGTTTCTTGGAACATATAAGAACAGCCAAATGGGAGCCACCATTTTTTGTTCAATCTTTGTAAATGGTTAAAATCAGGGAAAAGATTATAACCTTCCGGACGTTCCTCAATAGTTTACTTTAGGAGAAACATACAACTAGCTCGAATCTTAAGGAAAACATATTCTTCAAAACTGAGATTGGTTTTAAGAAGATCTTTGAACTTTTAAAAACGAGATTAGGGTAATAGCAAATTCATGTATTCACACTGTTCTATTAATTTTATTGAATTTTGTAAGGGAACATATCTACTTCTAATTAAATTGGGATACAAAATGTATATTCTAAGAATTTGTTTCACTCAATCCCTGACCTGATGTAATGTAATAATAATATGGTCTTCCCTGTCTTCGGGTAGCCATATTATTTTGAATATTGTTCATTCCTCTTTCCCCAAGGCCCCGAAGCGTCGAAGAATTTATTCCCACCAGGTACCTTTTTATTTCGTTGTGGCGAGAGTGGCAAAAGTAGAGAAACGTCTTGACAATTCAGTTACTCTATTTCTAGACCACGACACCTTCAATATAACGATTGACTCAAATAGACGTCAAAATATTTACATATGAGCATAATACATACATTCAAAAGGATACCCCATTTTGACTTTTACATTTGATGATTTCTTTACTTCCAGTACTAAACATCAAGCGTATATCTGCATATGGTTGAACAACAAAAAAAACCATTCATATGCTTACAAGCCAATACAGATCATACAGTCGATCAGTGACTTAAGAAGTAGCCTATACAACTAATCACTTATTTCTGATTTTTTTTTCTTCTCCAAAGCTGCTTCTGCACTTCATAATTCTTTTCCCTGGCATATTATAATCCATTTACTTTACAGCGGCAATCTTGCCTGAACGGACCACTTTGACTGTCCATGTCGGGGAAACTGTGACATTCGCTGTTGTCACCAACGTAACGGAAGATGATTTGCGATGGCGGTTTAATTATGATAAGATATCTGACAGTAATGGAAAGCAGAGTCTTACCTTGGTGAACGTGAGGCTAAACCAAGCTGGGGTATATCAGTGTTTTGTAAATGGAAAACGATGGGATGCAGGAAATGCAATATTCCTTCTTCATGTCGTCAGTAAGTTGACAGCTTACATATCCTTACATGTTTCTTGCCCTAGATATTATCTTTTTCCAAAGCACCTTTCATTTCTAGCATCGTTGAACTTGCAACAAAAGTACTTATAATTTTATATCATTCTTGTCAGCGAAATGTCAGTGAAATTAATGCGAAAGGTCAAACAAAATTTAATGTATCTATGTTCTTTGGATTTCAGTCATGCTTCTATATGGCTGTTCCCATACTAAAATGGCGCTTTTAATTATTAATACATTAATTTCAACGTATTACAAATTGGATATTGACAATGGTATCTTTTTGTTTGTGTTAGGGGGGGGGGTGTGTAGAGAATGAAAGTTATAATGCAGGCATGTCGATGCATATTGGCATATAGATTTTTTTTATTTTTTTTACTTCTAAATTGTTTGTATTTGTATTTTGTTGGTATTTTATTTATTTAATCACGGTTAAAAAGCCTGCTATCAGCTAGAAGCTGCTTTTCAGCAAGGCCGTGAACAACAGTTCAACACAACAAGTAAACGAATACAAAACTATATACAAAAGAAATCATGAAAATTATCATAACAACATAATAAGATGAAAACAAACAAAATTAATTAAAAATTACTTGGATAACAGAAACGATGGAGGATGCTGGATTATTTTCCACTTCGAAATACTAATACTGTTTACTTTAAACAGGATGCCCAGCTTATCGTTGGGGATCTGAATGTGAACATACCTGTACTGAGTGTCTCAATGGAGGCAAGTGTGATGCAGACACAGGAGAGTGTGTATGCCCTCCTGGTTTCAACGGGACAATATGTAAACACGGTAGGTTTTACACTTCTATGGGTCCTCTGCACTTCGAGACACTAGCACGAGACACTGACATACTTATTGAACAAGGCGGGGGTGGGGGGGGGGGGGGCACAGATGGAGGATGACACATAAAGTAAAAGAGTCACATACTTAAACACAAACATACGCTTTGTATCTCTTGGATTCAACCCGATATTTGATGTGAATGAAAATAATGATTTCATGTAAAATACCTGCTTGAATCAAAGTTCAATCTGAATACCCTATAAGCTACGTCGAGTGATACAAATAACAAAGCTTTCATTAATAACATTCAATAGATGAAACCCTTAGATGAACAAAAAGCATTATTTCATCGGTAATTTTGTACATTTTGATCGTTCAATACCTAAACATCTTTTCAATATAGCTTTTACGCGAATCAAAATTAATTCAACTCAAATGTCAAACAGTATTACTAATCTGTTGCGTAAGGTCGTTTCAAACGCTATTATGAAGGCAATTGTATCATTATCTCTTTATTGTCACTGCATCCTCAGTCCTGGGCAGCAACCGATTTGGGCAGGATGGCAGCTTTTCTTGTGATTCCTCAGGAGATGATCACAGTCCAGGGTGTCGGGGTAAACTCTTCTGCCTACCAGACCCCTTTGGATGCACCTGTGCAGCAGGATTCATGGGAATCAATTGTACAACAGGTACTTTGAGTCATGTAAATCAAATTCTGGAATCATCCCTAAGCGAATATTTTTACTTCTACAGACCTCCAAAATACATCATCTTGAAAGAAAATTTGGTATGACGTACTCTTGTAAAAACATATTACTAATTTATGTACATGTACATGTAAACTAGTACAGTTCCTCACATGTCTATTCCGGTAAATAATTGTATCTTTCATGGATTTGACACTCTACCGTTTGAAATATTTGATATTCTTAGGCGTAAAGTGAAGATAACGAGAAAAAAGATGAACCGTGACGCAGCTTTCATCATTAGCGCTGGAAAAAACTGAATGCGAAAGATATGAGTGACGAAGAAGTCATATTTATATTTTTAGTATTGAATGGGTTAAACCATCGAGCCCGAAAAAGAGTCTGACCCATGTGTGACCTTGCATCTTGTGTGATGAGAAGAGGTATTTGTCTACATAGAAATGCTTTTCAAAAGACAACTTCTTCTTGTCAAGTACATACTAAGGCGTCTGTTCTGCCTTAAATTATTTGATACCTGAACTTAAAATGAGCCTAGGGATATCCTGAATAGAGTAATTCGAGAGCAATGTTATAAGTACCTATCAAGGAACTTGGTAACATAATAATACCATGAACTAGTATTCTCTTTGAGGATCAAAGAGATTCCATAATGGGATATACTCTGCCTTTCGAAACCTCAGCTTTGTTATCTTTTAACAAGTGGTGCTTGGGTTGAAAGTGAAGGTGTTTTATTTGTCATTATTCTGTAACCACGTAAAGGAACAAAAAAAAATTTTTTTTCTTTTTCCAAGGGACATTTAATGTTTCCTTTATCCTTATTTGGAAAAGACGTACACAGTAAAACAAGCGAAAAATAATGGTGTTTTTTTTAGTAATCAAAATTTGTGTACATGTAATTTTTAATTTTATGAGAAAGAACTGGAAAGCCATGGACTCTTTTCCGTATGAATATATTTAAGTAACCATTAATGATCAAGCACGTAGCCCTTGAAAATTGTGCTCGATAAGAAGGAAGGAAACCGAATTGACAATATTATGATGGGTGATGCTTCCCCATTCCACTTTCTAGATAAGAGGTTTAAAAATATGTCCATCGTAACAATTTTCTTAGCCAAATTATGTTAGGGAAAATGTTGCATTACTAAAATAATATGAATGTTCATCATTTCCTTGCTTTAAAACCCATGTACTATAAGCTTTCATAATTCCATTTAAATCCGTCGAAGCGGTCCCGTTTGGATTGAAAAGATTTTTTTTTAAACGGTGTGATCTACAAATACATGTAGAAACCTCGTTATCAAAGTTAACTGAGTAATTTATTCGACAGTGTACTGGAATTTAACAGATTAAAACAATAAATGTTTCTTCATCAATAAATGGACCAAACTAAAAAGTATTAAATACGTTCTAATGCACTTGTGGGTGGGAGCTTTTTCAAAGAATAAATTAACCGAATTAGCAAGGCCAAATGTACCAAGCATTCAAAAAGCACCCTTGATACCTCATTGACCAATTCATTTAAGATTTGTGTGATTCTTTCTAGAAATGTAATCTCAAGGCAACAATTACATCGACGTACCTTGGGTTCCTGGGCCTGCCCCTTAATGTGAAATATTGATGACTAAAAAGCGCATTAGGTCTACCTCATAATGCTGTTCCTTGTATTCTATTACTTTATCAATCCCCATAATTTGTCTAAAGAATGTAACCCAGGAACGTATGGAGCCAATTGTTTGCAAGAGTGTCACTGCTCTCCAAGTAACATCTGTACCAAGGATACAGGAGAATGCATTGATGGGACTGCGTGCCAAGAAGGCTGGACTGGTGTCAACTGTCAAGGTGATTTTTTTCTTCAAACAGACAGTTTTCATACTAATGTGTATTTTTTAATTTGTAATCTTTCTTTTTTATTTAATATATATTATTATCACAAAATAAATACAACTCCACTGAAGAGACACAGTCCTTTTCTAGTGCTTGGCATAGCAAAAAGCAAAATGGAAAAGGAATTTTTTGTTTGTTTTGAATAAAAACAGATTTAATTTGTGGCTATATTTGCAGTTATCATTTCACACACATTCACTGCTTTTGTCTATGCTGAGTTGAACGATGAATTTTTTTCTCCAATCTATGCAGACTTTAATATTGATCTAAGCTAATTTTTTCATTTATTTCAACATAGGTAGACCAAATGTCACATATCATCATTAGCTGTGCCTTTAAGGTCATATGTTCATTCAGTACATCCTTCAGGTCGTATAACAAAATTGTCTTGTGAATTATTATACATGTTAGTGCAAATGCACTCGAAGCGTTCTAGGTGATATAATTAGATTGTTTTTGCACAGCAGTAATTAAAAACAAAATATCGCCTCGTTCGGAATGGTTCGGAATGAGTTTAATTATTTTGCTTATACGATCAAAAAGTCTGCTTCTCATGTAGACGAGCTGCAAGTACTTCACTAATATTCTCAAGTACGTGCTCTCCAGTTAAAAGCTATATTTTAAAAGCATCATTTTCTAACAATTATTCTTTTTCCCATAGTGGTAAATTTGAGCCCTGTCGTGTGTAGGAAAGATGTGTTGGCTGGACGAGGGGACGAGACTATTTGTATAAAACATGTAATAATTTTGTTTATAATCATTTTCCTATTTTTGTTCAGTTCGAAGTTCCCCCATTCAGGACATTGACGCTGGTACACGTAAGCTAACATGGGCTCATAGATTAACATAATAACATAGGCTACTACTACTACTACTACTACTACTACTACTACTCCTACTACTACTACTACTACTACTACTACTACTACTACTACTACTATACTACTACTACTAGTAGTAGTAGTACTACTACTACTACTACTACCACTACTCCTACTAGTAGTAGTAGGTAGTCGCTAGAGCAGTGGTCTTGTAATCCGGTGACCCGGGTTCGAAACCAAGGCAATGCGCTGCATCTATTCAAAACTTCTATTCTAAGGCACACAAGGAGAAATTTATAAGAATAAGAGTCTGAATAACAGAGGCCCTGCGCGTATTCTGATCGTTAAAGGGATTGGATATCTTTTCCTCAGATTCTAAACAAAATCTTGGATTAGGCTCATGCTGCAATCATAATTATAAACCTTTTGGTCGGTTAGGAATCACATGACTTTTACAAGCTGGAATTATAAATGTCAAAAAGTGTTTTTTACAACACCACAGTCTAAACGTGGAACTCCTTGCCCCCTGTATTACAGAATTGCTATACTCTCACAGCTCTAAAGGTGTCTGAAAAAACGTCTTTTTCTAATTTGTTGTAATATTCCTTTCTGTTTGTAATCAATATTAGCTCCGTATGACAATGTTCTCTCTTTTTGTTTGATTGTTTGTAAATATTTTCTTTTTAATGCGCTTCGTATCTAATGAAATATATAATATATTATTATACACATGCCAATGAAGATGTCCCAGTGTTGGATTCTAGAACACACTCTTAATGACTTTTGTCTGGGCATTAATCAATCAGAATGCGACTATACATTACTGCCATGGTTTTAACCATTGGTGCCCCTGGATTTAGACCATTTTATCATGGCCGGTAGGTATTTCTGCCAACTACCTTGAGAGCTACATTATTGATGAACATCGAAATTGTAATTTCTATTCGAGGTATGCTCACAATAATGGAAAGATGTTTTTTTATTATCGAAATCGTTGCACATTTCTAATATATTCATCTTTTGTCTCTTCTCTATCAGTATCAACTTCAGCTGGAGTTCCTTCAGGTTCCATAGCAACTGTCGTAGGAAGCGCTGTTGGTGCTATTCTTGTGATTGTTATCGTAATAATTCTCATCATCATCTTTTACAAGCGAAGAAGGTTAGAGAGATACCCTGTGCTTAACTTGTTCCTCTAATCAGTCCATCCGCATCGACCACCTCCATGCAAAATGCTAAAACCGTATGGTTATGAAAATACAAGCTGAATTATGATTGTATTTTTAAAACAAAATCGTTATAGTTATTGAATTACTTCTTTTTTTCTTCAAAATGCTATTCAATGCAAATATTCTAAAGCATAGCGCTTTATTCATTTTATGGCAATCACTTTGAAAGACTCATTATGTTAATTGTTTGTATTTTAAAAGTACCATACCACTTCCCACATATCATGTTGACATGTTTCTATATACACTGTTGGTCATAATGGTGGAATATTTATTTTTACCCCAGTTTAGGGAAGGATTTAAAAAAATTATTTATTTCTAATAGATCTAGATAATGGCATACATTCTCAGATTTTATTGAATATTAATTTGCGAGTGTTTGTTTTGCGTGACCTGTTAATCATATGTGTGCTACTATGCTAATCAGCTAAGGGACCTACGTCCTTAAGTCATAATTGACAGTAATGAGGATTAATGCCTCACAAAAGGGCACTAATATATAGCTGATCAACACGATTTTTATCCTGGGGCCTCACAGTAACGAGGCCATTGCTTAGCCCCTGAATCATGACTGTACGCAGTGTTTGCTAGGGTACGCGGCCCCTTCCACGAATCCCCCAAAACGAAGAAAATGCAATAAATTGTCAAAAATTCATTGCATTTTCCCCCGGCCCCCAACAGGAAAAATTCCTCTGTGTGGCCATGCCTTGAACCATAATGCATGGCCCTACAGAGGAATTTTTCCTGTTGGGGGCCGGGGGAAAATGCAATGAATTTTTGACAATTTATTGCATTTTCTTCGTTTTGGGCGATTTGTGGGGGCGGCCGCGTACCCTAGCAAACACTGCGTACAGTCATGATTCAGGGGCTAAGCAATGGCCTCGTTATTGTGAGGCCCCAGGATAAAAATCGTGTCGATCAGCTATATTAGTGCCCTTTTGTGAGGCATTAATCCTCATTACTGTCAATTATGATTTAAGGACGTAGGTTCCTTAGCTGATTAGCATAGTAGCACACATATGATTCAGCAGTCACGCAAAACAAACACTCGCAAATTAATATTCAATAAAATCTGAGAATGTATGCCATTATCTAGATCTATTAGAAATAAATAATTTTTTAAAATCCTTCCCTTAACTGGGGTAAAAATAATTATTCCACCATTATGACCAACAGTGTACCTATTTATTGGGACTTGATGATTTTCGTAATCATGTATCTAATCAATGCAAATTTCATTTTGCTTTCATAATATCAATTTTCAGCGATGAATCAGCCACTACTAAATCTAAAGGGAAGGAGTCCGGTTCATATCTGCAGTATAAGAAACCTGTATTTGATCAGTCAAAGACAGACGTCCATACCTACCAAGACCTGCACACTGACAGCCACACCTACCAAGATGTTAATACCGATGATAAGAGCTATGGTAATCCTACCGACCGCTATACCTTCCAAGATCTTAAGAAACTTGATCAAGAAGTTATATACGAAAATCTAACTGACGTCTAACTGACGTCTCATAACAGCATATTTCATTATTTTAATCATATCATGAACAGAGATTATATCAACGTGCTGATTAAGAATTGATTACATGAGAAGTAAAACAAAAATAAAGTCCATCACAAAGATTTTGAATTATCAAGACAAAAAAAAACTGTTTACAATTTTGATAGAGATAAACAATTTCAGTCTTAATTTATTACAAATATATGTCCATGTACCAATCCTTTCGCGAAGATAAAACCATGCTTAAAGGTATTACAAAGTTTTGGTATGGGGTCATGAATTTGGTTCAAATTAACATATTGGAAGCATATGCGTTCCTACAATATTCATTGAGCGTTGTCCCGGTTGAAATAGAGTCTAAAATTATGAAATTATAAATAATAAACTCTTTATGTTGTATAGCTCCCTCTCAAGGTCAAGATATCAATTTAGCTATGAAACAATGTTTCTTGACTAACATCGACCGATTAGCTATTCCCGTTTGGAAATTATGTATCACAACTACATATTCTGAGATTTTCATGGTCGCAGCTACCATTGTACGGCCGTAGGCGCTATTTGAAATTTATCAAAATTTACCGGGAGCACCGGTAAATTTTTATATTTAATTTTTCTCAAAAACAGAAGTGTTTTAGGGGCTAATTTTTGTAGTTCCTTTAATACATCCACAGGGGCATCCAAATATATCAAAATTGTAAAGATTCACTATCCACCCAATTTTCAAAATTTTTCCAAAACTTTGTATTACCTTTAAAAAATTATCGTGAAATATTTAAGTTTATCTTAAAAACTATAGGCTGATGGACTTGGGCGTTTCCTTTCATGTATCCAATTAGAATGCTAAGTCGAAAAGTTGTCATAAATTATCATTGCTTCCTTTTCTTCGTTTTCATTTACCATGTTTACTCGCGTTATTCCCAAATCTTTTTTTTATCGGGGGTCAGTTGAAATGTTTTAAATAAAATAATTTGCACAATTCTGACAAATTAGGGTAACAATTGTTGTAGACCTTAAGTCCCACAGCTACATGAAAATCAAGTTATGGAGTTATTTTCTTTAAATGTATATATATACTTATCTTTCTCCATTGAAGTTTGCCTCCTATCTGAATATTGTGAATGATGTATAAGAAAAACATGAATCTTACATCATGAAGTAAGAAAAGATAATTAGATTTTCAATTTTGTTTTCCTTCTATCTGCTGAGGAACTAATGAAAAGTATCCCCCAAAAATAAGACACGTTTTTATTGAGTCATGTATATCAATATGTATGCCATAAGGTACAACAGCATATTCCATTATTTTAATCGTATTTTTAGATATCAGTAGAAAAATATCATAAATTTTACTGTACTTTTTGCATGTTATTGCTGGTGGAAGACAATATACAGATTTGTGGAAAAGAATGAATAATTTTTCCATTATTATCATTATCATTATTATCATTATAATTATTATCATTAATATTATAATTAATATAATCATTACAACAAATACGACGACTTCTACTTCTACTTCTACTAAGCAGTGGAATTCAAGTTGATTACTAGTTTAACGGGATAGTTGAGTTCTGTTTTCAGACTGCAAATGCCTTCAAAGTGCATGGTTATTGCTCGTATTCTTATGCATGACAATTCTTGTGCTCTTTTAGGACCTAAAATTGCTCTGAAGATAATTTTAGACCTTAAAATGTGTGACATTTAGCCAATACGATCATACCAATTCAGCTCCACTTTTAAAATAATACGGTGACTGTTAATGAACTAATTTATTAAAAATAACAATACCTGGGCCGGCTGGTTGTGCGTAATAAAACCCACACGAAAAGGCCAACAACAAAAAACCAACATCGGCATTGGCTGAAATACAACGTAAAAGGCGCTATTTCGTTTCTTTAACGGCTTTTTCAAATTATTGAATATTTGTGGTGGTACACATATATTAGAAAGCGTTATATTTATGAATATTTCAGCCGTCTCTGAACCGATTTTGATTAAACAAAGATGATTTTGTCATTTAAACTGTATGCTCTTTCAAATTTGACACTCAGTTTGTCATTATCTCACAAACAATTATTTTGTGTAGCGCCCTCTGCAACAGAACTCAACTATCCCTTTAACGATAATATGTTAGAATGTGAACGATGAAATGTGAACAAATAAGTTGTGAATATAGACATAGACTATGTACATAAAATAAATGTGAAAGCATTGTGTTATGTAAGGGGAGATTTTTAGATCAACATTGAAAAGTAGATTTAGAAGTTAATTAGTTGAGTATGAAAATGCAATCCAAATCAACATCTATGTATTTCCATATGAGCAGGAAATGTTTAGGCACAAAATTATAATTGAAATAAAAACACGCAATATGTAACCCTCAAAGAAGTTTAAACAATAAAGAATACACAAAATAGAGTTATTTTGTTTGGTGTATAACCTCTTCAATTAGAACTTTGAACGTTTCTCAACAAAATTAATCCGTCTGATTATTAAAGCAGTTTGGAATTTGGCAGAGTGTTAGCGCAGCCAGTCAGATACAAGCCAGATTACTTTGCGGTAACAACTGATACATTTAAAAAAATGCACTAATCAGGAGAAGATGATTATAATCACCTCCGTGATGATATGCCAGTGTTTCTAACCGTCTGAGTATACGTCTTTTAATGGTGGATGAAGGTGTTGTTGAAAAGTATATGTCAGGCTGATTTGCATTTACAGAAGTTTTAATTGATGTTGTATTGCAAATTGTGGACACCGCGTCATCCCACATCATTTGTAGATTTCCATTAAGTCATACCATTCAATTTACCATGACATAGCAAAGTTTGTCAAAAAAAAAAACCCAAAGGGAAAGGGCATTTAAATACTCATCTGTCTGGGACCCGTTCTTCGATACCAACGACATGGCAGTCATATCTTGATATGCTAACTACGGAGATGTCTCTGATCTTACTAACCCGTTTCACAAAAGTTCTTTAGCTAGACATCTCATCATGACGATACTATTGGCATGACGAGGAGTCTAGACATAGTGTTAGTCGCAATTCCACCCTTTAAAACAAACATTATTTCAGGAAATACAGTAGTTAAAAATAGTAGCCAGGGAAAAGAGTTGGAGAAGGAAAAGAAAAAAAAATCAGAAATTATGTAGATTTTATCATAGAATAACCTGTAAAATACACATTGTGGGTATTTCATTTCATGACCAGTGAATCAGTTTAGTTGTTGATATGGGTACCCCCAAATACTATCATTTGGCCGTTTAAAAAGAAATACACCCTTATATATTTTCTTAGTAACCATACAATGCTATGACAGGTGCTTCCAATGTGT